ACTACAACATCTTGGTCTTCATATCTTCACTTAACCTACGCTTATCATTATAATAAGAAAAGTATCATTACTTTTACTGATAATCCCGAAATTGACTACCTTTCCAAGGTAACATGTAAAAAATTCGGTCTCGGATTAATTTTGCGGTGCTAATGAGGCCCGTGCGAGCTCAAATGTATGGTGCAGTTTAAATAAAAGATTTTTGGAGGCAAGTCTAAGTAAAATTCTATTGATTCATGAGGATTTTTAGGTAATTTCTGGTAAGAACTTCATTAGCAAATGTGAAAAATTCTAATTCAAGAATTACTAATGAATTATAAACATTCCCGAGCATAAAATCAGCTTTTGTATGTTTGGTGATTTGCTTCCAGTGATGACGAACTTTTTTTGATAGTTGCGAGTAGATTTTTCTCTTAGTATTGAGCCAATTGTTGAAGCTTTAGGTCATTTTTCACCAGCAGATCATCTATTTTTAGTCAAAACTCAAAACACGTGTGGTCCACATGCTAATCTACATATATGTATGTATGTGTGTGTGTATGTATATGTGTATATAGCATTTATACCATTTTAAAGACTCCTTAAATCACCCTATGGGTCTAGGGTGGAAAGGCTCCTATTAAGGGGTTACTAATAATTTTGAAATATTCCAAAGCCCCAAACAAGCTTGTTTATTGTTCTTATATAAGCTGAGTTTATGTTGGGGTACCTTTCATTTCGTTTAAAGAGGCGTGTAGAAACGATTCGTAAGCTTGTGTATGTATGAAGACTTGTTTCCATTGGCGTTGAATTTTGTGTAGTCTGCTTTTCAAAACTATTTTTGATGCTTTCGTCACAGGTTTGGATTTGCCTTTGGTGTAATGCCAACGCTTAAATTGTCGGGGCGTCCTTTACGAAAAAACACTTGAAGAGCTTTCAAGTGGCGTACTGGTTTCTAAAGTTAGGAAAATTCGGATAAATTTTTATTTTATATGACACACTGGGCTTTAGTCGACTTAACAAGTTCCCTGTAACACCACCCAGAGTAGTACCAGTTTAAAGGATGTCTCGTCAAGTCCCTCACGGCCGCTTAAACCCTTCTTCCATTTGATCTGATGCTATAGACTTAAAAAGAAAAAAAATGTAAAAACCCCACTATTTAAGCGTCTGCTTGCCACCGAATTGGTTTAGCATCGCCCTTGGATTATACATAATCGCCTTGAGGCCTAAGAGACTAAAGAAGTAAGTCACGTTAGTTCGCTTAAGAAGATTTAAGGAAATGATAATGCAAGTTCGAAACCCAATCACACAAAAAACAAAATCGGTTGTTTTTGCACCCATCCCTTAGCATGCCAATCACCATCTGCCCATATACAGCGGCACGTCCGAGGTGCAGAAATGTATTTGCTCGGACAGACCAAAGGACAAAGCCCTTTCTTCATGTCGAGCTGCTTAGCTTCGAATGTTCCAACCCTACATGTCACCCATGATTTAGGCAGACTGGCGGGAAGATTGCCACTAAGAAATTTGTCATGCCCTTTCACAACAGCCCCACTGACTGTTTTCCTGCTGTCCATTTGTAGTGAAATTTGAAACACGTGTGGTCCATATGTTTGTATACATGTATTCATATAAATATATGAATATATAAATATATATATATGTATATATATGTACGTATGCATGTGTACATCTACTTGTGCCTACATGTATGACGCCCTATTTCAGTGACTCCTCTTCCAGGTCGGATGGTATCTGCATTTGACCTTAAAAGGTGAAGATACAAGAGGGCTAAAGTTTTACTTTTGCAGTTCCCTGGACCTATAATCTCACAAACAATGCTTTTTACTGCAGAAAACCGCCTTGTCCTACAACGCAATGGGTATACAGACAGCGGAGTGGTAACACTATATTCGGGTTTAGATGTACATAAATACACTAGGTTGGCGAACTTTGGCATGGAGAAGCTTGCAAAGAAAGACTATTAATTCTACACAACTAGGCTTCGGAATGCCAAAATGTCTGTTCCATGTTATCCATTTGTTTTGTCTATTTTCCTCTCGAGGTTGTCTCGGCCTTACATCTTTTCGGGACTGTCTAAGCCTAATTGAGCGTATGTTAGATGGAATTGGGCGAAACATACGATTTTAGCAATAATCCTGCTTTGGCTCGCAGTAAAAGAAGAAATTATAGAATGGCTTTTCTTAGGGAAATTGGTAAATACTGAAAAATGTAAACTGAGTGTATCCTGATTTACAAGCAGGGAGTGACCATGAGGCGAATAAAATGGCATGCACATGATGGGCAGAGGTGGGCTTACCAAAAGAGACCTTAGCCCAAGATCGCGATGGCTGTCGTCTTGGAGAGTTAACGGCACAACTCCCCGGATTGTACCAGAGACCTCGGATTACGGCAACTTTTTGTATCTGGGCGAACAAGAGGACAAGAATATAAATTCTGGTAAGTTCGGAAACTCGTTTCAGTTGGGCGGGAAAGTGGTATCGTTGTTGGTGTTGAAGCCAATCTGGTGGAACCACGTAGACCTGGATTTAAGAAGTGGCCTCACTTCAACGCTGTAGGTTGTGCTGAATGAGCCAGTCTGTGCTGGAGCGGTGATGTCCTAGCGACAGCGAGTTAGGGGCAATACAACACCCGAAGACTTCCCTTGATCGGGCGATCTTCTTCTATCTGCAATAGTCAGTTCGTCATTCGGATGACTAAAGCAGACGACTGTGATACTACCGCTTCGGCGTGTATTGTTGTGGTCAGGAGTGACAGAGGCAGGAGGCAGACGACAGAGTGTGTGCGGATATGTGGCAGAGGTGAGTGAAAGTGACTGTGAGAAAGAGGAAGACTAGATCTGGTAGAAATTGACAAACAAACAGGGTAGTGTGACTGTACCGGAGTGGACAAGTGGAGCAAGAGAGGCGGACAGAAGGAGAGATCGTGAGACCCAGTGTTGTCTTCAGGGATTGTGATCTGGCTGTCCTGATGTCTGTCACTGTTCGTCTTCTCCGGCGGCCTAGTTATACAGGTTGGTCTGTGAGTATATGCACACCTCGAGACCAGCACTGCTGGTTGTCCGAATTGGCATAGTTACCAGACTGGACTGGCTAGCACTAGTTGCCGGCCTTGACATCATTGGGTCACTTCTTTTGCAGTCCCTCGTGGTGATTGGTCGGATGCACGTGGCGCGCAAACGGCCATGCCTGAACTCAACATGGAGAAGGAGGTAAGGTCAAAATAACCACTACAAAGTGTGGCAGTTAACTTCCCAAATCGACCATCAGCCAATCTCTCCTTCTGTAGTTCTCTACATCTATCTATCCATCTCTCTGTTCATCTATCGGCATTTCAGTCTCTTTATCTACCTCTAGATCTGCCTAGTTATCGACGTAGGGAGAACCGAGGCGGCCGAAGGGCAAGGGTTAGGAAAAGTGAGGACACATGCAAATGACACTTCATTTATGCTTTCGACTATGACAAAATTTTAGCATTTGCAGTCCCCATTCAAGAATAGAACGCATTTGGTGTATGGAGAGACATATAAACACACATACATATACACATATACACATATATATACACACATATACATACACATGGTTTGATTGAAAGATACATTAAGAAGGATAGATCAGTCATCGGAGCCTCTGCTGCCTGAGTGTTGCCTGACTCGGAGACTAACCTGATCCTCGTTGAGATCTAACTGTTCTATTCGTTTTCGTATATAAGCAGAGTTTCGAGACTACCAATAAATCAGTTCACTCTATTTCGTTTACGGTGATGAAAAACTGGTAGAATTAGCTTTATTCGTTGTTGGATGACGATTGATGAATGGGCCAGATGCCCCCTGAAAGATTCTGGGCCGGCCCAAGAAGCCGGGTAGACTGAAGCACTCAGTTGAAGTGTCTGGTGGTACAATCGGACTCGGACACAAGACACGTCTGTGAACAAGTGATATGTGTTCCAACAATATGCAGTGTCCCGATGCTGCTACGCGTAAATGCTTTTATCCAACTTCTTCTAAATAAGAAGTCGAGTCACACGTTCACTCAACCAATTGTATATGGCGACCTGAGTTAAGGCGAGAAGTGATGGCATAATTAGAAAGAGCCAAGACAACGTTCGGCTATAACAGTCTAGCTCGAGATAGGCCTGCATTTCTCGGTAGGTATGACTAACAAGATAGATAAAACTCACCTATGGGATCCCATAAGGCTCCATGGGATGCTATGGAAAGATTGTGGGAGTTTGATGGCAGAATATATGAAATCCTGAGTTTGGATAGGCGATTAAGAACTCTTATTTCGTTTTGAGTAGTTTTTCGAGACCACCGGTTAATCAATTCTATGAGTTATGCTCACCCTATTTCATATACGAAGAAAATTTGGGTTTCGAGGAATCTCTTGTTTCATAATTGTTGGGATTACTTCCATTTCGA